GCAGGCAGAATATCTGTGGATCGGCTTTGGATGTACTTGTCTTGCATTTAGGAGCGATTCTAGAATTTCTTTAGAGATGGGGGCATAAGAGGAGCCATAATTCAAACAAGGGGGCCAATCTTATCATTAGCCAATTGGTGAGTGACAGGGGAGAGGGCACTCTGGGGTCCAATCAGCTTTCAGATGGGGTCAGTGCCCCTGTGGCCCCGCCCCTTTGGCTGGAGCCCCTGTCTGTCGAACATAAGGAATTATGTTTTTGAGGATGATTAGCAAATAAGTGACACTAAAGGAAAGTGCCTATTGAAGCCTTAGTGATGCCAGGTCTGGTCTCCCACACGAACAGATGTGGACTTGATTTCAGTACTTTTTCAGTGCTCCTTAAGATCTGACGGCCATTTGATGAATTTCAGAAGTCAGTGGGCGACAGATGAGGTCCGACAATATACGCTCTATATGCTCATTTTGTTCGCCAGGCCTGGCTTCACTGCTGGCACAGATTCATCACCCTTTGCTCTCACAATAAATCCACAAGGGCTTGTTATTCTTGCAATGACAGGGAGCCACCAAAACGCTTGGGGCCCCACCCCCACAATGTGGCCCCATGCTTGCGTCGTTCCGGAACACAGTCATGTGCAAAGAGTGTCATCTATCCTGTCGCAGTTTAAAGGCACAGGCAGCAGCGAGTCTTCTAGTCAGGCTTGCCGTACACCAGTATTTACTGAGCAGACTCCAAGTTCAAATAGCTGTAGCATTCTGAATTTTTAGCATCTGGGGCTAATACCGACAAACTATCAGAAATTACCTCATGGGAGATCTGCTTCTCCCCCTCCCCTCAGTTTCCATTAGCAATCAGGTCCCTACAGGGGCCATTCAAGGATTTTTTTAAGGTGTGGGACATAAGAGAGGCCATAATTCATACAGAGAGGCCAACCTTAGTGAGCTGGGGAGGGGACACTCTGGGGGCCAACCAGCTTACAGCTGGGGCCAGTGTCCCTGTGGCGCCGCCCCTGTATACGCCACTAGGTCCCTATCCAGCCATCTCCATACATTCCAGTTTCCAGTTTAACTCTCAGTAAGTTCAGACTCTTCTAGTGGAGTGAACCTTTTGACCATTTTGAAAACAACAGTCTTTCACTTTTCTTATGTTTGATGCTTTCACTAGGAGTGCTTGCTACCATATTTTGTTGTGCGTGGACACAATGACAATAAAGTTGACTTTGACTTACAGAGACCAGGGTAGCTCTAGTAGAGAGACCAGGGTAGCTCTAGTAGAGAGACCTGGGAAGGAGATCAGGATTGTTGAACTCCAGAGAAGTCAGGAGGCTCCCTTCCATTGTGTCTGCTCCATTTAAATACACTCATTGAATATCTTGATGAAAGTTAAACAGATTTACTTCAGAGGAATGCAAATGTCTATTAAAACATACTGTATCAACTCAGCATGGTTCCCTAGTGTGTTCCTGTGTTTTTCTTCCTATAGCCTGTGAGGTCATGATGAGGACACTGGCTCTTTGACAGTCCCGTGTCCTTGGGCTGTGTCAAGCGGATAATGGTGCGGTTCACTTCTAAGCCAGTGGCAGGCTTAGCGAAATCTGTGCCCAACTAGGCTCTGTTTGGGCACTCGCTCAACCTCAGTCATACTCCCCCCCTCCCATAATTCACATGCACTCTTCTCAAACTTCATTTTTAAATTTTACATTAACATTTTGTTTAGCAGGCGCTTTTTTCTAGAGCCTCATACAGTTCTGAGATAAATCAGGGTCCGACAGTCCCTGGAGTAATTGGGGGTTCGGGGTCACGCTCGGGGCGCCGACGGTGACAAACCTAGGGCTGAACCTGCAAATCTGGTCACAAACACAGCATCTTAACCTGCTGATGGACACACCTCCCTTGGGGTCTTTGGTTTCTAAAGGTACATTCTTTGAGTGGGCTGGACCCCCACCTCCACTCCGCTATATAAGAAGGTATATGTTTCCAGAGGTATTAAAAAAACCTAATTTAATAAATATCAAATTTTTATGGAGCAATAAGCTATGTGCAATCATATTTTAGAAAGAACCATGGAATTTTAGGGCAGCCTTTGATCAGTATACACAGAGGCCTTGGACCTTGTCTTCAGGAGCACAGAGGCAGCTGGCCTGGAGCCCTTGTCTCCTTTCCCCATTGAACTTTTGACTTGAAAGTAAACAATGGCATGGGAGGGGGGGCATCTCAGTCCACACAGACCACCTTAAAGTGGCAGGACCCCAAAGAGCTCGTTCAGGAAATCTCAGAAACCTCATCAGGTTTCATTGTGGCGTTTTCATCTTACAGCCCAGTATTTATTGTTGATTTAATAGAGGACATTAAACAGATATCACGTTATACAGTTCACCGATGATGACTTTGCCATAAGCATAAATGATTTCATGTTAGATTTGTAGGGATCGTTTGTGAAGAGAGTAAGGGATGGAAATCAGTTTCGTTCCCGCGAGAGTAAATCACAAGAGCGAGACCACCACAAAGGTCAAAATTATTAGCCTCGTCGAACTTGAATTTCTTCCCAGTTTTTGTATTTGTGTCTAGGCTAAACCATCTAAAAACAAACGTGAGAATATCTGTTTTTGTAAAACTTATCGTATTTTAGCAAAGGCCAACATGGAACAGAATCCTGTGTAAGAAAGCAAACTTTGCTAATGTAAAAAGCTTGTATTTGCTTTTGTTTGACTTTTACTTATAGTCCTGTTCATTCTTACTCTACATGTGAGAATGGCACACGCTTTCAGCTTAACTCCTCTGTTCTGGAAAGCCTACAAGCTTTGAACATCTGAAGGCACAAGGTCTGGCTCACGTGCCACTGTCACTCACGGTGTCGTTTTCCCCCCACACGTGCTGACTGGGCTACAGGGACAATCTCCGCACACTCCTTACATGGGAGACCTAAGCAAGCTGCCTTTCTAGAGCATAAATCCAACATGTGTCAGCAGGAGGGAACACTCTGACATCACACACTAAGACCAATTTAGCAGTTTGTTGACTGTTTTCAGTTGTCCTTTAACGTCAAAACATAATTGTGTTTTTTGTGCTTTTTTGGCCTTTTTCGCAGGCATGGTTGATGATCTGTTGTTGATTGGTGCAAAAAGACGGGATTAGTCGGTCGGGTAGCTGAGCAGAGCAACCCGTGATGGTTTAGCTCTTGCATGCATGGAGACTAGTGACAGTTAAGTTCCACGGGAAATGTTTCTGCCCTCCGTTACCCCAGAGAAGTATGGCTCCTTTTCACGTATCTGGGTGCCTCGATGAAAAAGATCCATAGCAGAGAAGACCCAGCTTAATTTGAACATGATGATCAACTCCCACCTTCAGCTACATCTCATTGCATGCAGAGGGTCCCTCAATGATATTGGCTTAATTAGTCATTCTAGTTACTGATCCTGCCGTGCTTGCTGTGTGATTTATACCTCACCATCTCTGTCTCCCGTCTCCTGTCTTGTCCGTCAGCCAGTTAACTGGTTCCTTCCTTTCCTTCCTTGTCATTTTGGGTTCCCGGGCGCTAGATGGTTCCTGCCACATTTCCTTTAGCTTCCATATCATAAATATTCAATACAGGACTTGTCCGGTTGCCAGGATTTTACAGGGGCAGGGCGCCCAGAAAAATAAACACCCCATGATTCTTTGTGACTGAAATGGAAAGCGATTAGGAGTTATGTTTCTCCTCGAATAGGGCTTGCATTCAGAGCTCACTGCAGCCACCCAGCCACAGGACAGGAAACGATACGGCCGGCGAGGTAGAGCTGGGGGGAGTTGGTGGAGACATGGTGGTGGAATGGAGCACTCTGACCTTCTGAGAGAGCCTTTAGGCTGCATCCCCTTCTCACAGACCCTTAGATGTTGGAGGTATCAGGGTGGACATTCATACTAGTGTGGGATGGGACGTTTTAATAGGTCTTGAAACTGGAAGATCTACCGTGGAAAGACTTTTACCCATGATGCATCATAATCCAGTTAGAAATCGTCTTTGCTGTGAATATTATTTCTTGTAGAATCATTTCATTGGTTGGGGTGTCTGCAGCTTCCGCAGAAGCATGTGTAAACAACAATGCTAATCTCTGTCCAGCAGTGTTTTCCCTCACAAAAATGTCCAGTTGGACTGCTGGGACCTAGAAGGAAACTGGCCCGATTCCGATATATTAATCAGCCCTGTGCAGTGTGTTTTTAAGATTTACTGGAATGCATCATGCCTCTGCCAGTACGAAAAAGAGAGAGATTTGGGTGCAGGGATTGAATAACTCCAGGAGCTATCAAGGGGCAATCATTAGCCAAGAATTCATTTACCAGTACCTATAGCTTTCTGTGATTGGCTAGGTCACCATTGTCCCGCCCAGGGGACCAGTGTAGTGATTGGACAGGCATCCCAGGTGACGGCCTTGAGGTCCTGGTAGCCGAATCGGCATTCTTTGCTCTGCGTGTGTTTCCTGCCACTGTGCTGGGCAGGGCAGGCCCCCGCCATTACCGATCCATCCAACCACTCCCCATCCCCGAGTCATGGCAGCCCGCCATACTTTTGTTCAAAATGTATGGCCCGGGATCTGTGAAAACCATTCAGTCCCCCCGGCTTCCTCTGAAAACTCTGCCCCCCCAGATGGCCTGTGTGCTGGCACAAGATCCAAAACTCAGACAGAGGGCGGGAATGAGCTTGCTGGTGGGATATGTAGGGGGCAATATACCCTCAGAGTTTGTAATCTGAGCTACAGGGGTGTCAGGGTGTGGACACAGGCGACCTGTTTGTTTGTAGAGTGGGTGGCCCGTATTTTTCTTTCCAGCGCCTGGTTCACACGATCAGGCTTTTCGAGGTTTTCCTAACCCAGCTAAAATGACACACAATATAAAATTATCAACGCTTTTTTCACAGGTGTTTTCTTAACACATGCCTTTGACCGATACATTTTAAAACAGCATGTGTTTTCGGTCCTGATTGTTCTCGTCGTAATATTATCGTTTTCTTGTTTACGTTCCCGCAGGTGATGGCGACTGACGAGGACAGAGGTTCTTTTGGGACCATATCCTATTCCATCGGATCCGGAACCGGCAGCACAGCCCCCACCCAATTTACCATCGGCAAGGAGACGGGCCGGATCTGCACCAACATGGCTTTGGACCGGGACCAAGGTCCATCCAGCTATGACTTTGCTGTGACTGCAGCGGACGGGGTGAGTCAAGGACATAGACTGGGTCACCTCGGGCCACAAGAGGATCTCAAGGATGTATGCAAGGACACTGGAGCAAAGTACAACTCAAAACAAATTAAAAGTAACCCCCTGAAAGATCCCTTTGGCTGGAGCCGCAAATAGCATCCATTTCATGGCGTGCCAAGTAACATTTAGGGCGAAGATGGTCGCAGAGATGGTAAAGCCATCAGCGCTAGGCAGCGGCCGCATGGACGCCAGCCACTCGTATCTGAAACGCTGGGTTGTCTGGCCCGCCACCAAACCCCAGGCCCCTTTCCCCATCTGCGGTTTTTGCTCCACCCTCCATGTTTTTCTGTTTAAAATGAAAAACAAAAGAAGTGCAAAAATCTCAGAGGTGCTGAACGATTCCCACTCCTTCCAACTTCTGACCCAAGTAACGCCACCCTCCCCCCCCCACCACCACACTTGGTCTCAATCCAACCCCACCCCCCAATGGGAATCCTTGTAGAACCGTAGAGGAACAACAGAAGGAAGCTGAAGATATATCTCCCCCCCCTTTCCTTTCTCCAGGGTGGATTGAGCTCCACAGCATCCGTGAAGGTGACACTGATGGACATCAACGACAACGTGCCCACCTTTTACCCTGTGCTCTACGCCGTCAGCCTGAGCACGCAAAGCACACCTGGAACTTCGGTCGTCCGGGTGACGGCCTACGACCCCGACGCGGGAGCCAATGGGAGGGTGACCTACCGTATCATCCCAGGCAACAACTCCCCCTTCTTCACCCTGAACAAGGACACAGGTCAGTGTGGTGGCTGTGTGGCTCGCCGAGAGTTTGACCCAATAAGCTGTCCGACATTTGAAAACGTTTGTGGTTTAATGTAAAGTTTCTGGTTTCAGATGATTAAACTGATTAATTTCATATCGGAATTTCATTTGTGGATAATTGTGCTTTGTGGCTTTTCTTACCTTAATGTGTATGAAAATTATTTGCTAGTAGCAGTAGGCCAGGTTCTGTTGGGCAGAAAGTACAGGTGTGACTTCAGGTGCCCCCCCCCCACAGCCCCACAGGTGTGATTTCAGGTGCCTCCCCCCCCCCTCCACAGCCCCACAGGTGTGATTTCAGGTCCCCCCCCCCCCACACAGCCCCATGGGTGTGATTTCAGGTGTCCCCCCCACAGCCCCACAGGTGTGATTTCAGGTGCCACCCCCCCCCCCCCCCAACCCCAACAGGTATGATTTCAGAATCTTATTTGCACTTACCCCCCCAGGTGTGATCTCCCTCTCCCGCTCCCTTCACGGCAAGGCCAACTCCGTCATTTCCATGGTGATCGGAGCCCAGGACGGTGGCGGCCTCACAGCCTCCACCAATGCCCGCGTCAACATCAGCGTGGTTGCCGGCTCAGTGGCTCCCCCTGTGTTTGAGCAGGCACAGTACTTCTTCACCGTGTCAGAGGACGTGCTCCGGGGGACAGAGGTGGGCGTGGTGCGTGCAAACAGCAGGAGCGGTGAGTCAGCGTGGTCACCGTGCAGGGCGTCAGATCCAAACCCAGACTAAACACACATTAGTGGTTCTATAAACTAAGAAGAACAGAGCACAGCAGTAACTGGGTCCGAACCTATTATGAAATCACTGACTTGACCTAACCTAATACTTTCACTCAGTCAGATCAGGTCACTAGGCAATTAGATAAAAAAATATGGATAATCTACTGACTCACGAGACATAGACCTAAGGACTGTGACCCCGGGGGCCACCTGGGCCTTTGGCTGGGTCACTTTTGGGGCATCATTAAGAATGCAATGATGAATATGACACAATCACCTGCACATACTTTCATGCAAGCCTTTAAAACTTTGTTAATAAAAGCTTGAATTATATCCATGTTTTTTTTTTTTTTAAACAAATGACTAGGTTAAATCTGACCAGCACTTAAGGCGTGGTATTCCATTCTTAACCCCTTTATGCACCAGTATCATAGATGTAGATTTAGGGCATGATTTAGTGAGTACATTTATTTCAAAGATTCCTTTTCACAGCATTGTCTTGCTCAGAAATGACTACCTGCCCCACTTCCCACGTGCCATTTCCATCTCGAGTGTCGCCATCCTTTCCACCTTCCTGCTCTGCCCGTCAGGGGTCTCCCGGGACGTCTCCTACACCATCTCGGCGGGCGACCCGGATGGCTTCTTCACTATCGACGAGGAGATGGGCGCGCTGCGCACCAGCCTGCCGCTGGACCACGAGGCCCGGCCCTGGCTGGAATTGGAGGTGCAGGCACGCAGCGGCTCCCCCCCCGCCTTTGGGCAGGCACGGGTACGCATCACGGTGGGCGACGTCAACGACAATGCGCCCGCCTTCCTGCCCTCGTCCTCTGAGTCGCTGCTGCTGCCGGAGGACACGCGCATGGGGACCACAGTGTACCGCGTACGGGCTGAGGACCCCGACTCGGGCCCCAACGGCCAGCTCAGCTTCCACCTCATGTCTCCTGCCGGCCAGCGCACCTTCAGCGTGGAGCGCGGCAGCGGTGACATCCGGCTGATCGGCAGCCTGTCGTACGAGAGCGTGCCACGCTACGACCTCTTGGTGGTGGCCCGGGACGGCGGGGCGCCCCAGATGAGCGCCACCTTCACCCTGGTGGTGCACGTGCAGGCTGAAAATGACCAAGGCCCCGTTTTTGACACGCTTACCTACCGCGTGGAACTCAAAGAGGGCACGGCCCTCAACACACGCTTCCTTCAGGTCCGTGCTCTCAGCAGGGAGGCCCCCGGGGCCGCTGGAGGCTCCGCCCCCTCATTAGCATACCACCTACGCCCCGACGGCGATGCGGCAGGCTTCGGTGTGGCCCCCGACAGCGGCTGGCTCTTTGTAAAGAGCGCCCTGGACCGGGAAGCCAAGGACCTGTACCTTCTGACGGTGCTGGCTACGTCGGGCAGCGGGCAGATGAAGAAGACGGGCAGCGCCACCGTGCGCGTCTCCGTGACGGACGAGAACGACAACGCGCCGCGCCTCACGCAGGAGCGCGTCTTCCTGGCCGTGCGCGAGAACCTGCCCTCAGAGACTGGATTCGGCCGGGTCTCCGCAACCGACCGCGATGCAGGCCTCAACAGCCGCCTCACCTACCGCCTTCTACATGCAGACAGAAACTTCCAGATTAACTCCCAGACAGGTATGTATATAGCAATAACAATACTCATAATACATAGCTGAATAATAACAATCATCATCAGAAAATGATGCTTCATTTTCCATTCGCACAAGTGCATTGGAATGCTTGCCTTGGCGTATCCCATCATGCTCTCCTTTGAGACACAATCACATAAATATACACTGTTGCGAGTGATGTTTGGGGTAATTAATCTGGCACCTCTGGTGCATTTTGAGGGGATTTAAGGGCATTGCTCAAGGGCCCAACAGATATGTGACAATTCTGCCAAGGATAGGATTCAAACTGTCAAACCGTGACCTTCCAGTCATACAGTAGGTGCAGAAACCTCACCCACTGAACAGCACACCACCTGGCTGTGCTTCTTACATATAGCTGTATGATGACAATAATCATCATCATCATCATTAATTACATTCTGGATTCAAAATGATGCTTTATTTGCCATTTGCACAAGTCCATTGGAATGCCGCTTTTTGCATATCCCATAATGCTGTTCTTTGAGTGTGTGTATATATATATATTTCGGCACCCCTGGGCATTTTGGGGGCATTAAGGGCCTTGCTCAAGGGCCCAAAGGACAGGTGACTCTTTGGCTAAGTGTGGGATTCAAACATCATCATCATCAACACCATCATCATCATCATCATCATTGTTATTAAGTCTGGATTCAGGGGAAGGTTTCATCCCCACCACTGCTGATAATTTGACTCCCCCCTCCTTGTGTTTCAGGTGAGATCAGCACAAAGACAGGCCTGAACCGCGAGCAGCAGTCCAGCTACCAGTTGGTGGTGGTGGTACAGGACGGGGGTACGCCCCCCCGCAGCGCCACGGGCACCGCCCACATCACGGTGCTGGACGAGAACGACAACGCGCCCTCCTTTGTGCAGGTGCCTTCGGGAAGGGAGCTGGTCATGCAGGTGAGAGCTCATTCATGTCCATATGACCCCCAACCTCGAGTTTCTGTGTCCCGTTAATCAGTTGTGCTAACTCCTCTCACTAGGTTCAGGACAGTCTGCCGCCCGGATCTCTCATTGGGACAGTGCACGCCAAAGACCCTGATGAGGGAGAGAATGGGACCGTTTTTTATTCCCTGTCAGGCAAGACAAAGACGGCAAAGCTTGAAACATTTAGCCGGACATATTGAATGTGTTTCTAATGTTGCTCAATATGTTGGACAGCACTTTGTTAACACATTGCTATGTACATATAAGCACAGACATAAGAATAGAAAAAAATGCTGAGAATAATGATATACAAGAGGGTTAAAAGACAAAGACAGAAATGAAATAGAATCCAGTCACAAACTTGCAAGTCGCTAATCAAGTCAACATGTGACTTATTTAACTGTAAGTGTAGACCAGTGTTACTCAACCTAGTTCTGTCCCCAGACAGGCCACATTTTAGCTGCTCCCAGCTCCCAGCCAATCAAGAACACCAAATAACTGGTACAGGTGTGGGACTGTCTGGGGGTCCCCAATGACTAGGTTGAGAATCAGTGGCGGTTGGTCCTTCATAGGCTAGCCAATCAGAAGGCTTTGCCTCCTGATCTCTGGTGCTATCTTTTCATCCGCTGCTCCCACAGGCCCAAGGGCAGAACGCTTCTCCCTTAACCCCAACACGGGTGAGCTCCGTACCTCCGCCCCACTGAGCCGTGCCGAGCGGGACGAGTACAGGCTCACGGTGACGGCCACCGACAGGGGCCTGCCGCCCCAGAGCTCCACATGTGCCCTACATATCCAGGTGAGGGATCTTGTCCATCTTCGGTCTGCCTTGGCAGGGTTCTTTCATGCCTCTAGGAGCTTGCACTCCAGTTGGGTGAAAAATCAGCACGAACAGACCGGAGGACTGATCTGCTGCCCGTAAAAACAAAAAAACACCTTGACTTATGGTCTACGTTTTCTTTTCCAAAGGTGCTTCAGGAGACCCAAACTCAAGGTGCAAACCCTGTTAGGCAGTGAAAATGTATTCTTCCACATTCCTTGCTCAGTATTGGGAACCGGAAAAATAGATGTGTCATTTTGACGTTTGCAAGATGTTTTTCTCGTGTTTTGGGCATTATTCACCGCCAGGGGAAATGTCACTCAGTGGAGCAAATACATCATGTGCATCAAAACACAACCAGCTGAGAGCTGTTGAGAGGCAAATGGAGATGTGGTCCAGAGCTTTCAAGCCTTGTAGGTCTGCCCAGAGATGCACTCTCCCATAAATAATACCACAGAGAAGCTCAGCTGAGGGTAACATTTCAGCTTGGGAACAGGAGTGTGAAAGAATGTCATGCTGAGAAGAACCAGGCGCAGTGGAGGAACCTTCACTTGCATGTTGCTTTCAATTAGGATACCACCAAAGACAACAGGGTGGCGCTGTAGCCTCCACACCCCCATGGTCGGGCATCCAGTTCCCACCCCTAGATCTCTGTCTCTCCATTCCAAAATCATGTGGTTAGGCAAATTGGTGTCTCCAAGTTCTTAATGCTGGTGATGTAACAGTCTGTGTGTGACTTCTTACCAAGCAACAAAGGAATAATGTTGTTGTGCATTTTTATACACAGAATAGTGCCATAAACAAAATAAAGAGCCATCACAATGTGGCTCAAACGTGGCTGCTGATTAGCATACTGTAGGTACAAGAAATCAAACTTATGGCAACAGACTCCAAATTAGACTATCGATCTGAAACTTATTGCAGCTGGCCGCTTTGAATTGGAATGACAGTGTTCTCGTAATTCATTTTCATGAATGAGCTGACTCCAGCTAATTCCAGGACTAGCAGAGTCAGAATTAGCATTAGCATTTCAGGAGACAGTCAACTCAAAGGATTGTTCAGTGTCAGAAGTTTATAGGACAGTCTGTGTACCTGACTATGCTAAACAATGTGACAAGAGGAGGAAAGGGGACAACAAAGATCCTGTTCTGAATAAGCATAAAGTTGCCTCTATTTGGACGCAAAAGCACCTTGTAGCAAGGATATTCAGGTTTGGCATAGACGGACACTTTAAAAATAGTCAGGGGTTACTGTCAAAAGAAAAGCAGAACACATGAATTTACAGGGATAATGAAGAGCAGGCAAGCCAAATCAGTATGAGTAATGATAGCCTGACTTTCCCTGCCAAGTTGGACCCCCAAGACAAAGCCCCCTCCTTTTCTCCCAGAATTGTTTGGTTTCTGAATGATGAAATTTATTATAGTATGGGAAGGTAAAGTATTGCACATATTACAAAGTCCAACATTCATCCTTAAGGCAAATTTCCTTTCTGTGTGATTCATTACTCATTCCTACCATTTTCATGAAGAAGAATCTTTGCTTCAACTCATCGCGTCCTGTGCTTTTGTCTTTAGGTCATCGGCTCCAGCAAGACTTCACCAAAAACCAACTCTTTGTCCATGACCCTCAACTCAGTAGAGGGAGCCAAACCTGGCTCTATCATTGGCTCCGTAAGGACACATGACAAGCAGCCACAAGGCCAAGTGACCTACCTGGTAGTAGGAGGCACAGACCGAGATGGCACCTTCATGGTAGACCACCTTACAGGAGATGTTTACCTGGCCCGGGAGCTGGACTATGAGCGAGGGACTCGTTATACCTTGCAGATTGAGGTGGATGACCTCTCCCAGGCTTACCCCAACAGTCACCTGGTTCAGCTGGACATCAATGTGCAGGACAACAATGACCATGCCCCCCAATTTCCTGAAGACCCTGTTACCATTGTAGTTTCTGAGAACATGCCACCTGGCTCCTCTGTCTACACCTTCCAGGCCATGGATGGAGATGGGAGTGGCCCCAACAGCGAAGTGCGCTACTCCATTCTCCGTCGTTGGCCCAACGACACAGAGGTTCTGTCCCTGGACCCATCCACAGGTGTCTTGACCCTGATACAGCCCCTGGACCATGAGGTCACCCCTTCTTTTTTCTTGGTGGTTCGGGCCACTGACTCTGCCCTCGATGTTTCTCAGCGGCGGTGGGGGTCAGTAACGGCCCGTATCTTTGTGACAGATGAGAATGACAATGAGCCAATTTTCAGCTCACCTGCCGCTGTTAGTGTCATGGAGGACCAGCCCGTGGGTTTTGTGGTGCTGTACGTCATGGCCCGTGATGCTGACAAAGGGGAGAATGGCCGTGTCTCTTATCGTATCCAGGATGGAAATGCCGGAGGGAGATTCAACCTCAATCCCAACACAGGTATGCCTATAAAGGCCAGGATCTTCAGAAAATAACATTTCGGTCCTAATTTAATATGTAACTGTATTATTAGTTCTTATCTTTTGCCAAAGAACTTTAGTAATGTGCTTTTAGTCACTACCGCTACCTCCTAAAGAACTACTGTAATATATTTCATATTAACTGAAGTTGTTCACTGTAGTTAATGCATCATTTGTCAAGAACCGCTTAGCTCCTGGGTCTCTACAGGTGCAGAATGTCCACTATTAAGCAATCGCTTTTGCACAGTTAGTAGAGATTGTCCATTTTTCTTTCAATGCATCTTGTGAAAGAATTCAGTACTCCCAGTTTGTGGCTTGGCCTTGACTCGTGCAGAATACACTTACGGATATACTGCTGCTTTTTGTCTCTCGCCTAGCTTGCTCCTCTCATTTCGAGCCTTGGGAGTTCCAGTGTGTAAGGGATTGTCAGCTGCCGAGCAAATGTTCCCGGTTACAAAGACCCCCCCCCCCCACCTTCTCCCCACTGCAGCTTTCTTCTAAACACAAGGCACATTTTTGCATGTACCCCGAAGACAGGCTTTCCCAAGCCAACCTCGTTAGCCAACTTAATGTGTTGACGAGGCTCTGAAACATGCCCCCCTTCCTCACAGATACCTAAAGTCAATGTCTTTAGAGTCATAAGTGCAATAGTATGTTATTTTATAACGTGCTGGCAGAGAGACTGAACGGTGGGAGGCCTCTCATAGTTAGATCAAATTCGACATGACTTTGATCCCCCAAGTTCCACAGTATGAAGGGTTTCTTGGCTCGATGTCATTGGGCTGGTGTGGATTTTTCTTCTCATCTCCAAAAGGACTATATGTGTTTTACAGCTGCAGTTCATCCAGGTAGACAAGCCTGACCTAGCAGCATGATGCTGTTGTTATACCACATTGTCACTGGTAGCATGACCCAGGAGTTCACCTCGCACCTCATTGTGGATATGGGAGGTTTATAGGTTGCCACGCAGACTAAGGTCTCCGTCGGTCTGCGTGCTGTGGGTATCATGCAGATTCAAAGAGTGCAGGCCAGCTTTCAATCTGAGTATTACTGCATGAAAATTTCAATGAGGGGGAATGCTAATAGAACTTTTAGCGATTAAAAACATCCTATTGTTTGTAGCCTGTTGAGGATCTGTCCTAATTCCTCAAGAAACAAAGAATCTTTAATTCTTCGGTACTTGTCAAGATCAAGGATGAGCCATAGTAACATCTAATCAGAAACTGAATCCTCCTGTTTCTCCTCTTCTCTCTCACCTGATACCTAAGGTTCTTTGTCCATCTTGAAATCCCTGGATCGGGAGGAACAGGCTGTTTACAACCTAACGATCATAGCCGAGGACCATGGGGTACCCCAGCATTACACCTCTCAGCTGCTTTCCGTCCAGGTGATTGACGTCAATGATGAGGCCCCCTGGTTTGAGAAGGCCGAATTTGAAGCCGAAATCTTGGAGAACCAGCCACCTGAGGTCACCGTCCTCACAGTATCTGCGTCTGACAGGGATCAAGGTAAACCATGCCCCTTGAAGGGGATTTCTCTCTGTTCAGCATAACTGTAATGCAGAAAAACACATTAGACTAGTTACTGTAAATCAGTTACACCTTTGTTAGCCTTCATTACAATTCCTCATCATGTCCTGCATGTTTTTTTCTTTTTTTAACTATGTGTGTGTGGTTTTGAGAAGGGTATGGGTGCTTGGCTGGTGGTACATTCTCCAAGTCTTAGTCTGTAGCTTATAAACAGAAGGATCATAAACTTTCTCTCCAGGACCAATTAATGAAGCAAACAGGTGATGGTGCCAGGTCATTCTCAGTTAGCACGCAATCTGGCAGCCGCACACCAGGCCGGGGAAGAGAGTGAGACGGGGCCAACTGCTCGTGAGGCAGAATGAGCAACGTGCAGTATGCATGCACAAGGGGAGGGCTCCTCTGTTTACACGTCAGGATTAGGGCACGGCAGAGATCTCGCTGCGAGGACAGAGCGAGTGCCGGCACAGGAATGCTGATGCAAGCAAAGTGTGTCGGTCTGTGGAGCTTCTCCTTGATGAGATGTGTTTGCCCTCCCTCCCAGGGAGTAACGGCCAAGTGACCTATGGAGGCATCGTGGAGGAAGGCTTCACCATCCACCCAGAGACCGGGGTCATCATGGCCACTAAGGCCCTCGACAGGGAGGTCCAGGACCGCTATACAGTGACAGGTAAGTGCTGTTGGGTGTACTCCAAACTCTTACAATAAGGAAAATAACCCTATTTGAGTTGTGCCTAGCTACCCCGAAGGACCGGTTAGTTTGCTTTGATACCAACATCTGCTTTTGCGCATTTTAATTGCTGTTGCACTAGCAGTGAATCACATGGTCTTCCCTTTCTGTAACTCCCCTCGACACCCACCTTCTTCCTTTTCATAAACAGTCTACGCTAAAGACGGCGGTCTGCCAGCCAACTTTGCCACAGCCACAGTTCGGATCACAGTACTTGATGAAAACGACAATGAGCCGACCTTTGGGAGTTCCTACTACAACCTAGAGGTGCCAGAAAACCAAGACCCTGTGGAACTCTTCACGCTTCGAGCCACCGACCAGGATGCTGGAGCCAACGGAAAGATTAAATACTGGATTTCAGGTACATCTCGTGTGAAACGTACCATGCTGTGGCAGATTCTCACTTTGGGTTTGTCTATTGCATGATATCTCTCCATCCCAAATGCCTGTCTGGTATAGGTTGTGATGGGGCCTGGATCCTATCTCAGACAGCATAGGATACAAGGCAGCAGAACACCCTATACAAAATGCAAGTGCATTACAAGGCACACGAACAATCACATACTAATGGTGATTTAGGGACACCATTTTATATAGCTATATGTCTTTGTACTGTGGGACAAAACTGATGGGATTTGCGCTTTGTGTTTTACACTTTCACAGCTGGCGATCCCAATAGTGATTTCAGTCTGGACAGCAGCTCTGGAGTGCTGTCTAATTCCAGACCTCTTGATAGGGAGAGAAAGTCCAGCTACACACTTACTGTTGTGGCTCAGGACCACGGCACCCCACCACTCACCAGCACAGCTGTCGTGGATGTCGCTGTCCTGGACATCAATGACAACAGTCCAAGGTTCCAGCACAGCAGCTACACCGTTGACATTTCAGAAGATGTGCCTGTTGATTCAGTGTTGCTAGAGGTGACGGCAACAGATGATGACGAAGGGCTGAATGGGAAGATACTATATCTTTTGAGCCCAGAGTCCATGGGTGCTTTTGCCGTCGACCAGGACACAGGTCGGATCACCACAGCTGTGGCGTTGGACCGTGAGAAGCAGGCCTCCTACAGCTTCAAGCTATGGGCTATGGACTCATCCCCCGCGAACCCACGCAATGGTACGACCCATGTGTCGGTCCACGTGCAGGACGTGAACGACAATGCCCCTTTCTTCATTCAGGATCCATTAATCATCAACATCTCCAGTGGCAGCGTGTCCAGCCACCAGGTGGTTGCTACTATGAGGGCCGAGGACAAGGACTTTGGGGCCAATGGGTCTGTCTTCTACCGCTTCGCCAGCCCAGTTCGGGGCTTCACCATCAACTCCCTGACGGGGGCAATCCAGGCCTCACAGAGCCTGCAGTCACTAACCCAGAGCCAGCGGACCCTGATCGTTGAGGCGGTGGACCAGGGCAGTCCTTCCAAGTCCTCCCTTGGGGTTGTGATAATCTACATCAAGGAAGAGGAATACAAGGGCATCCGCTTCTCCCGCACTGCTCGAGACGTTAACATCCAAGAGAATGCAGCCAAAGGTGCAAGGTTTTTTTCAGCTTGAATATGGTGTAATAAATGTTATGTCAGTCAGGGTGTTTTTTTGCTTTGGTTTTTTATACGGTTGTGTGACAAATTACTGCCATATATATTTTTAACTGGGAGAAATACAAATGTGACAGCAATGTAAAGTAAAATGTGACCCGGAAAACTCTTGTAATATGAAGCACTGTAATTATATTCCCGAAGTCCATCTGGAATGTAAAGACAGCTAGTGTTTCATTCAGGCTAAGGAACAGCAGCTAGACTGTAGAGGAGTGCTCATCGAGGCATGTTATGTCCTTCTGCCCAGGTACCTCTGTGGTGCAGGCAGTAGCTCAGCACCCAGATGGTTCACGTGCTGGCATCACCTACAGCATATTCAGTGGGACCTGGAAGCAGTCTTTCAGCATAAGCCCCAGCACAGGTGAGTCCGGTGCGAAAATGGCTGCCTGTCATTCCAGGTAGGGAACTCTGAGGCAGTTCACCAGAAAACTGCTCTGGTCTCTTGCTCCTCAGGCGAGATTCAGGTGCTGAGCTCCATGGGACTGGACTTTGAGGACACCCCGAGACTCCGCCTGGTGGTGAAGGCAGAGACTGCATTGTCCAGCTCCTACATGGCCATCAATCTGATACTGCAGGATGTCAATGACAACCTGCCGCGCTTCCAGCTGCAGACGTACACTGCATACATGCATGAAGCACAAGGCTATGACCTCCCCATCATCCAGGTGCACAATACCTTCCAATTTCCTGATTAATGCCACTGGCGGCCAGCGGTTCTTTTGAAGACAAAAAAGAAAACACCTGTGTGTGCTTAGGAAATCATTTTACTCTGGGACTATCCACTTTACATTTCTACATACCCTTTTCCAAAGCCATAGGCCCAGGAGAACTGCGAATCAGAAACTATTTGATTGCAAAGGACATTACAATTTTTTTAACAAGGCTTGTTATCAAAGCAAAATGCCCAGACAGTCCATTGCACTTATCTGATGTAATTTTTTTCCCCCTTTCGCTTAAATTTACAATTAATTTTCTCAATTGTACCCATTTCCCCAATCTAAGGTTCTAGCTAGTGACCCCGATCAGGGTCCCAATGGTCAGGTGACCTATTCCATCTCATCGTCCAGCATGAGTGGCCTTTTCAGAATCAATCCTTCCACGGGCAGCATTACCACGGCAGCCATCATGGACAGAGAGATCTGGACACAGACTAAGTAAGTGCATGTTGCACTGTATTTCATGTCTTTTTGTTGTAACATACTCTTGTCTGTGTGATTTACGTGTAGTGTGTTGTAAGCAGGGATGCCGCTAGAGATTTTGGGCTCCATGAAAGCATATCATACAGCTGGAGAAAAAAATTACAGACCACTCTATATTTTTAAACTCTATATTTTTAAACAAATCTGCATTTTTAAATCCTGGTTTAATCATGGTTCTGCTGGCAGAAGGCTACAGTGAGTGGCAGGCTGCTTCCAGATTCAGAATATCTAAGACCACAGTACACAACAGTGAGGTGAAGTAAGAGACACTGGGAATGACTAAAAACCAGTCAGGTAAAGGGGCGGAAGTGACTTTCTAATGATAGAGATGACCGTCAAATTATCCAACAGTGTCTCATGAATGGTAGGATGACATCAAGTGACCTTGTATGGAATGGGAAACATTAAGTACAGGTGTGAAGTGCACTGCTAGGACAGTCCATAGCAGGCTTCTTGAAGCAGGACTGTAGTCCCATTAAACAAGGAAGAAGCCCTTCATCAATGTGAAGCAAGGGAGCACCAGCTTGGAGCTTGCAAAGTGTATATATATATATATATATATATATTATTCACAGATGCACACCCATAAACAGAAATGAGTGAAACAAAAAAATGTGCTGTGGTCTGTGAATTATTTTTCTCCGTGGCTGTAACAGGCGCCAAATTCAGACCAACCCAATTATGTTCCAGTTCTCATGAAATCGTCCTGACCCCCCCCCACCTTTACGGTGCCCCTGGCTGTAAGGCTCAGCTTACATGCTTAAGATTCTCATTTGAAATTCAATCGAAATTTTCTGCTAGAGGCCTAGGTGTTCCATGTGAATCCTTTGTAATATAGGATGGAATTATTAAAAATATTTATAATGTACATTGCGTAGCATTACAAGAAACAAGGAAACTGAGAGTAGACTTTGTAAAACCTTTGTTTATATGTGGAAGAGATCACCTGACCATTCAAATCTGAGCAGAATTTGTGGCCAGAACCTAAGCAAAGGACTGTTGTTTATTTATTCATTCATTTTGTTGCATCAGGCTTGTTGTCACGGCAACAGACCGCGGTAATCCCAGGTTGTCTGGGTCTGCTACGCTCACTGTGATCATCGTGGACCTCAACGATAACAGTCCTACAATCCCTTTGCCACGGGAGATCCGTGTGCCAGAGAGTAGGTCATTTAACTTGTTACCCTTAGCTGGATAGACAGAGCTTTACTTTCCTTGTCAGCCATACTGCATAGTAATAGTTGTTTTCTATATTTGTACACCTTCAAAATATTTTTCAGACACCATCATTGGAACAGAGATTACTCAAGTGACGGGCAATGATGTGGACTCTGGTCCCGCCTTGTTCTACTTCCTGCATTTGGATGCCTTCTCCAAGGGAAAGTTTGGGATTCACCGCTATGGTGGAGGAGTGTCGTTGACTGGGCCACTGGACTTTGAGGAGAGGACCTGGTACACATTCACCATCCGTGCTTCTGATTCCCAGCACCATGGCGAAGCCAACCTGACCATTCTCGTGGAGGATGTGAATGACAACGTACCAACCTTCACCCAGGATCTGTACCAGGTGCGGTTTAGATATAATCAACTCATCTACCTCTCCAGATAGAACTGCTCCAGTAACAAACTACATTATTTTATGAAACAGACAGAATTTATTATGTATGATCACCATCCATTAACCATCTATTATCCTCCTCATGGTCAGGGCCGCAGTATATAAATTTCAAGAAAAGACGTACAATGTTTTAAACTAAATAAGTCAAATGTATGTATATCGAATTTCACAAATAACAGACAAGGCAGTAATTTTTAATATTATATTTAAATATTTAAGCTATTTATGCTGGTGTCCACCCCTGCTGAAAAAACAGCTAAAAACCAGCTTGCGCTGGTTTTAGCTGGTTTCAACTGGTTTTAGCTGGTCTAAGATGGTCTTAGATGGTCATGTTGCAGCTCATGCTGCTCTTTGATGGTTTACCTGGGTGGGTCACCAACAGGCCAGCTTATCATGCTGGTCATGCTGCTTTGACCAACTAAACCAGTTAGAATGATCATCATAAGCTAGTATGATCAGCCGAACCATCAAACCACCATGCGAAAACATACCTTAAGCTGGTCATGCTGTTATTTTTCATCAGGGATGTTTTGATATGTTAGCTGTCCTGCATTGCAGAGGCTAGATATTTTCAAAACAATTTGCTGAGGTAGGGGCTGCAGTGAATACTCTAACGGCCTGACAGATGAGCAGGGGTTCATGCTGAAGAAGTTCTCAAATAAGCCTGGGAACCAAATATTCCTTATCACCTAGATCATGCATCTCTAAAACTGGCTGCCTTTGTGTTGCTGAGTGGTGATGATCTCATCTAACCTCTGTGTTGTCTTTCTCCTGTCCTCGATTTCCCAGGTTACACTACCTGAACACTCCCCGCCAGGCAGCCCCATTATTACAGTCACTGCCACAGACAGGGACACTGGGAAGAACGGCAAGGTGACCTACAGAATCATATCCTCCACCAGGGATGGCTTTGACATCGACCCTCACAACGGTATGGAGTCCCACTGAACACTCTATATTTGTGTTCTTACTCCACCTGGAATTGTTTGGACCAGGAATGTATGCCTGCTCCTCCGATTTTGAAGATACTACCATGTTAAAAATGCATTTGGGTTGCTGTTGCTGTTTGGAAACTATGAGCAACAGATGACTTTTGGAAACGTAGAGACAAAGTCAACTTGTTCCTTAAAAATATATATTTTCTGTCTGGCAGGTACGCTGTTTATAAATCAGAAGGCAGAGTTCGATCCAGAGCGGCCATCAGTCAGTGTGGTGATCGAGGCACGAGATGATGGAGTCCCAGCATTGTCGTCCCTCACCACCGTCCAGGTGCAGATGTCTGATGTCAACGACAATGCTCCAACTTTCCATCAGTCTGAATACAGGGCTACAGTGTCTGAGGACACCCTGCCTGGGGCCACTATCTTGACCTTGGAGGCAATGGATGCCGACTTGTCACGGGACAACTGTGGTTTTGACTTTGCCATCGCCAGTGGAAATACAGGCAACGCCTTCCAGATTGAGAGCAGTGTGCGGTATGTGGAGGGGCGGGGCTTCCAGACAGTGGGGACCCTCATCTTAGCTGAACGGCTAGACTTTGAGACCACCTCACGATACAACCTCACTGTGGTGGTGTCAGACCGTGGCGTTCCCCAGCGCAGCTCCAGTGTTGTGGCGGTGATCTCAGTCGCCGATGCCAACGACAACCCACCAGTCTTTGGTCGCGCTGAGTATAGTGTGGCGCTAAGTGAAGGAGCGGCCGCTGGCACGGAAATTTTACGCCTGACAGCCACAGACCCAGACTCTACCACGAACACTGAACTCCAGTATGCCATCAGCTCTGGAGATGAGATGGAGCTCTTCTCTGTCGATCAGTGGACCGGGGCGCTACGGCTGCGGAGGTCTTTGGACCGTGAACGGCAGTCCTCCCATGTTGTTATTGTGCAGGCATCTGATGGTCATGGATACTTTGCTTTGGTCCCTGTCATTGTAGAGGTGAAGGACATCAATGACAACAGACCTTACTTCCCTATCCAGACACTCACAGCAAGCATTCGAGAAAACCAGCCACCAAACTCTTTGGTCACTGTACTGCATGCCATTGACTATGACACAGGTGTGTTTGGCCAAGTGCGATATTTCATGCTGGACATGTCGGGAGAGGGAAAAGACTCCTTTCTAGTGGAACAATATACAGGAGAGGTCCGGGCACGATCGACTTTTGACTTTGAGAAGCTGAATGCTTTCAGTTTTGTTGCTTTGGCTGTGGATGCTGGAAACTTCTCAGCTACTGTCACAGTGCAGGTTTATGTGACAGGAGAGGATGAGTATGATCCTCTCTTTACTTCTCCAACCTTTTCCTTTGAGGTTCCAGAGGGGGCCAAGAAAGGGCAGATCATTGGGCAGGTACAAGCTACTGATGAAGACAGCGGTGTTGATGGCATCATCCTCTACTCCTTTGCAAGCCATTCACCCTACTTTGATGTGAACCGTACCACAGGTGTAATTTTCCTGAAGATGGACAGCTCGGGCCACCATAGTGGGACAGGTCGTTCCAAGAGAGAAACCCGGCTGATGACTTTGGATGTGGAAGCCCATAGTCCTTTGGACATTTCACGTACAGCCACTGCCCAACTGACGATTGATGTCACGCAAACCTCCTTTGGCCTCGCCCCTGATGTTAACATTTTGCTGATCATAGTAGTTGCCGTATCACTGGGCGTCATCATTATCCTCATTGTGATAGCGGTAGTGCTATTTCTGGTAAAGACTAAGCGGCGCAAGAAAGGGCAGGGAGCCAACCGTGGGGCTGCTACACCTCAGGGCACAGCCCTACAGAAGTTGGATGAAACTGCTGGGGGAGAAAGGATCTACCACCAAACTCTTCCTGGCTATGCAGGTGATCAAGGTAATGCGGCCGGGGGACCTTATGCTAGAGGTGGGTCCTTGGATCCCTCCCATTCCAGTGGGCGGGGTTCTGCTGAAGCTGCCGAAGACGATGAGATTCGGATGATCAATGAGTACCCCCGCGTCTCCAGCATTTCGTCTTCCATGCAAGAGCATATCTCTGCCCGAGGTCCAGACTCTGGGATCCAGCAGGATGCCGACCAGCTCTCTGACATTTCCTGTGAACCAGGGGCCTTGGATGCTGGACAGTGGTTCAAAGGAAAGAAGCTTGGAAGTCTCAGTGGGACTCTGCTATCAGGCCAGCACCCCATCTACAGGGATGAAGGTGGTGGCTATCTGGGGGTTGGAAGGGGCTTAAACATTTCACACCCAAAGGACTATGCCTTTCCAGAGGATGGGAAACCCTCTGTGGATGGTTCTCTCACAGCCATAGTAGCCAGCGACGAGGAGCTGCGGGGCAGCTACAACTGGGACTACCTGCTCAACTGGTGCCCACAGTTCCAGCCCTTAGCCAATGTCTTCACAGAGATTGCCCGACTGAAGGATGAGACCGCCCCTCCCAATAACCCACGCCGGCCTTTCCAACCAAAGCCTAAAGCCGACCCAAAGCCAAGAATCGACCCACCTCCTCTCATCACCTCTGTGGCCCACCCAGGAGCTAAGTCTGTTCCCCCGAAACCAGCCGTCGGACGGACGTTCCCACATTTGGCATCCCTACGGCGGTCACCTATCAGCCATGAGGGCTCTATTTCCTCCGCAGCGATGTCCCCAAGCTTTTCCCCCTCCCTCTCCCCATTAGCTGCCCGCTCGCCAGCCGTCTCTCCCTTCGGTGTCACGCAGGGTCCCTCAGCCTCAATGATCAGCACAGCGGAACATTCCTTGGAGCGTGGCGAGGAGGCTGAGCTGAGGATCTGATGTGGTCGAAGGAGAGGATTGTCAGTCAAGGAAGGTCGAGTGTGTGATGTGATGAGCTGTGATGTTCTCACTCGCTCAGAGTGTGGTACAGGCCCCCTTTTTGCCATGGTGGTGATGGTCTCTTTCTCAGGACCACCTGCTATGTGACAAACTCCATCGCAACTCGGCATTGATGTCTGTAGATACACGTCGTACTGCCTCACTGGCTGGCCAGGAAGCTAAGATTCCAAGATTCCCTTTTTAGCTTAAGAGGCTGAACAACCATTCAGTATTACTTTGCAGCAAGTGGATATGCCTGCTACTGTCACTCTTTGCATCGATTTGACGAATGTCTAGAAGTTTTTGAAAAAAAATCCAAGAAACATGATTTTTATGCACATTTAAGTATGGGGAATCGAAGGATGTTAAAATGTTGCTTTACTATTTTTATACAGTCTTTTGTTTTCTGACTAGAAAATGCCATTGCCTCGTGTCAGGAGGCTCTCACTGTGTTATATCACACGTATGTATGCCACTCTATGTATGTTTGTAATAGTGTTGCATATTGCCATTTGAATTGGAATGAAAAGACTATTGACATCTGTGATGTGAGTGCCTGGGGAACATTTTGTGGTTTATTATTTATATACATATATATATTAAAAAGTCCAAGCGCTTGCTATGTTAGAAGGAAAAGTGCAAATTAGACTAGATTGGTTTTTCAGTATGGTGTTTGTTGTAGTAGTGTTTTACGGGTGGACTTTGCAGGCCTTGCATAGTGTCTGCTCCACCACTGTCGAGAAAGAATGGCTGACCTTTTTTTGAAAACTGGGACCTTCCACCTCTTTTGTGGCTCCACCAAAACTCCAGCCTGCCAACACCAACAGCAGGGCCATAGATCAGGCGTATGAGTTGGGCCAAACTCATTTATCAGCAGTTCCTTCCACCCCTTTCATTTGAGAACCTCCAGTCACAGTAGATATTTCCTGTTTCCCAGAAGCAGGAAACCTTGCCATCCACAAATGTAGGCTGACCAATGTCAACCACTTCCCTCCTAGCTAACTTCTGGTTGCAAACCTTTAATAACAAAAGAAAACTCAAAAAGCTTTCATTGACCATGCAGGCCATCTGCAACAGCTTGCTAGAAGGCTCTTATGGCCTGCTGTTAATACAAAAGAACGGCTCAGACACCATTAATTGTTTCAAGGCTACGTGTTTTTCTTTGATTGTTAGTTTAGAGCCAGAGCTCTGGTCATGGCTTATGTTATACTTTTGGCTCTTTGATCTGCATAGGTCCAGGTGAAGGAAGGTGACATTTTAATAATGGGCATAATGTTTGTCATGGTATTTAGTACTAATGGCAGAGGCTCACTTTTAATAGTAGAGGTGAAGTCCTGAATAAAGTAACCTTCCTTTGCATTTCCCCCTGTATTCTCCCATGTCCCCCACATTTTTGAGAGTCAAGATTAGATGACAGATGTTCCAGGGCAATTCTAAACCTCCTCTCCTCCTTTCAGAGCTGCCACATTTTGCCACAAACTTAAATTGTTCTAGAGGACAAAACGTACAAAGCATTTGTTGTGGCCATTGAGCTGTATGTTAAATATCTAGGTGCAGTTGTGGATCATGTTCTCTAAGGACAGGACAAGCCTCCAGGTGGGACCTAAGTGATTTTTGAGATGGCTGCCAGCATTTAGACAAAGGAATGGTTGTCGAAGCCTTTGCCCATGTATTTAAAGCACATAATAAATTCCTAACAACCCCCCCCCCCTCCTGACACACACACACACAATTTATTTCTGAAGTCTTGACTAGGATCTCAAATGTTTAGGCTGAACTGTGTTACAGATGTCTCTTTTAGAATTGTGAAAGGCAAATACACCCATTGTTACAAAATTATTAGCAAGGCAGCAGTCTACAGACATGGCTTGGAGCAGACAAGTGGTTAGGTGACGGCCGAATCCAGATGACCCATGATCCGGCGTGCAGAGGGAATTCACAAACACGGCTTTACTCCCAGGGAAGGGGAGCTGTGGATGGCAGCTATTACTGGACAAAAACAGCAACAATGCCTCACAATGCAAAGCAAGCCAGCACCACCAGAATGGTCTGTAGGCACATGGCACATCTGAACATCAAAAGAAATGGACTGGCAGAGGACGGAGGACTCTTCTTCTTTTCTTTCGAAAGCCACAGACCATACCCGCATTGTAGATATGTAAATAGTCCCTTCTCACAAATAACCACTGAGCTGAGCCTTCCTCTGGGGCTGTCGGATATTTGACTTAATTAACAATCCAAACTGAACATGGCTCTGAAAGCTTCGAAGAATGTACATGTGTTTGACGTGGCTCAGTAATCAAGAGGCGTTCCTCTCCCATGTTTCTTCATGTGGACCACAGACATGTTTACATAGCTGTAATGGATTTTTGCCTCAATTGCTGCACCAGGGGAAAAAATGAGCAATACTTTTTTTTTTTTTAAATATACAAATTCAGGCAAATCCATACAATGGTGCTTGAAGGTTCTGGAGCAACAAAGGACTCAGAGCAGAAGGACAAATTTGATTAACCAGGTTAATAGAGGACAAAATAAATAATAAATTGCAAGAACTCATTAGATGACTTATTATGTTCTTCCTGTTCTAGCTCCAAAATTTGGAGTACTTGGTCTTCGTTTTGTACAAACAGTATTGTAAACATGGACTTTTAAAAATGAATTTTGATGGGTGAACATCTAATGATTCTCATAATATATCTTCTTCTCGTTGAGGCCCTAATATTCGGGTACCAAAACACAGTCTTTGAAACCTTTCTTGTCTCTGTGCATTTCGACCAATCAGATGGTGGTGATAAAAACCAGTATGGTTTAGTCATGCTTTTGCCACTGCTTACGACACGTCAGCGTGGGTACGGGTTGGGTACAGCTCACATAATTTACAATGGAAAATCATCACTGCGGTTCGGCTTGGGCACGGCTTGTTTCTTGGTGGCAGTGGAAAAGCACGATATCTGTGTTCCCAGGACAGCAGTATTACAGAGTATGAGCTATTTGTCTCTAATCCAAGGAATGGTAAGCTCCATAAAAGCAATATTGTTCATAATTACAGTAGCTGGTCGAATTATATAAGATGGAATTGAAAACGTACTGAGACGTTCTTCTTCTCGGCTGGAAGCTGCCCTTTCTGGTGGTGTACGAGTATTTGCTACGATGCGTGCCTTCTTTTCCTAAACCACACGCAACAGTTTTACATCATTTAAGGGAGGCTAAACCAGTCAACCCAGGGATTCTCTTCTTCATTTTTAAAAAATAATAGTGAATGACAAAAATATCAAACTGGGCTTAAAAACCATTAACGTAAACTTTGTTTTTAGTTTATATTACAGTTTCTGTACTTAAAACCTAGTATCTTAGGATTGTTATGGAATTGCTTAGACTCTTATGGCAATGTCTTGTGGTCATTTGCAATCCTATGCATCATTTGACAAATGAAACAGCTCAGTTCTAAGTGTAACATCACCAACAGCATTTGCTTGTTGGGTCCTGGATGCCAGGGCAGTTTGTGGCAGGTTTATGATGTTTTTGGGTTTATACTCTCCCCTCAGCACAAGCTGCAGACTACAGACCAGTATACCTCTACAGCGAGCTGGTTCCCAGCTGCATCTGTGTTGGGGTGCGCTTTTTATAAAACATAGTTTAGATGCCTCTCTAATCTGAAAATAAAATTCTCACTCTGTGGTTTTTTCATTCAAATTTTTATTGAAGGTCTTAATTAGCGCTGATGTCCCGAGCCGATACCAAAGATGGCAATCAGGGTCAATCCAGGCATTTCTTAAAGTGATCAATATCAGCCACCACAATCCGATCCAAAGACCACATTAATTTCCTGCGTCTGCCTAATTTACATTGTAAGGTTCCATCACACACTGCAGTGAGCCTGAGGCACATGGTTTGAACTACAAGCTACGGAGATGTCAGCCACGTGAAAATTCTTTAAACTGGAAACTCAAAGTAGCCCAACAGCTACCTGCAATGTTTGCAATGCAATCATTTAGAAAGGAAATAGCAACAGCGCGACAAATCTAATTCGGCCCTTGCAGAAACATAGTAATGAGCGACACTACAAAATCGCAAGGCTCACTCAGACTAAGAATATACTGACGCCTACTGTATGTCTAAGTATAATTACTTATTTATCAGATTGGTACTGAATCAGGAGATATAAATATTGAATGGAACCAGTGGATCAGGATGTCCCTATTAAGTAGCATTTGATGGGTTTAAGTGTTTACTTCACCAGTGAGGAAGTGCAAATGTGATGAAGTCGATGTGTCTTTGCGGACTCATACTGTACACCCTCGTGTGAGTCGTGACACTTGCCTGGAGGAAGTCTGGGATCCCCAGTGATACTCCATATTTATTTGTCAATGATCAAGTATTGCCCAGGTCTTATTTTTCAGGTGCTCTTCAAAGGCTGGACAGCCAATCAAGGTCATGAAAATAAACAAAATGTTTCTGGCAGCAGAGCTTTGGTGAGGGAGCCCAGCGTAAGGTCAGATTTATTACTGTCTAAACATTAGCCATGGAAGAAAGGTCTGGAATTTACATTTCTCCTGTGTTTTTCAATGAAAGGCCCTTTTTTTCTGACAGTTCTTCAATGCATTTTAATTGTTAACATGTCAGTAAAATAAAAAGTTGTTTATTGGTTTGGAGTGGAGTGCTTAGTGGAATGTAATTAGCAGCTTGATAGGTTGCATTCCTGCTAAAAATGTTTAATTATATAAAGACACCCAAAAAAAAAGTAATTCCTGAAAAAAGCAAAGCCCTAGCCCTCGCACTAATGACGGTATAGTACTGCTGAAATGAAACTTGCTGGCCAAAAAAGCAATTTCCCAACTTGAGTGCAGTGAGTTCCAGGAGCAAGCGAGAGCTGTAAAATCGTTTAACGACGTGAGCATCGCTTTCCGCTTCCCCTTTGAGGCTGCCTTAACATGGACGGCTGCCTGATTGTGATTACCACAGAGGATTTATATCTGAATATATTTTTTGCATTTCGCTGAAATGTCGATAAATGCCAGAACAGATTTTCCGCCGCGTTGAGCTTGCGAGGATTTTGACAGCAGACAGAACTAAACGACTTGGTGACATGTAACAGTGTTTCGAGGACCTGTAGACTTAAATAGTTCTGTAGCTGCAAGCAGAATCACAGTCCACTGAAAAGATCACACTGAGGAGTCATACGAGAGAATTACTACAGCAAATATAGGTGGTAGCTACTTAAACACTAATGACTAATGAAATTCTCAAAAGTGAATCTTGCTAAGCAGCCGGAAAGTATTCACTAGTATGAAAAGTAAGCAGTCCTGTAGGAGGTCACATAGCAAACCATGTTTATAAGTGGAAAGCAGATCCTTGTTTAAAACCACCATGTCTTTGCTGTGTTAATTTTTCTTGAGTTACTTTGCTATGGAAAATACCTTAAGGTGCATGTGGCTGTTTTTTTTTTAAATTTTAATTTTAAATAAAAATAAACTAATTTGATTTTAAGTTCATGCAGAACCCAGGGCTATATGAACGACCCATTGGTGTTTGTTTAAAACTCCAAATTAAATATCACAGAGCTTGCATTGCCCATCTTCACTGATCTTATAACTACTCCCAACTCACCTCCCCACATAAGAAAAAAAAAAAGAAACTGCATTGCTTCCAATTAATTGAATGTAACCAAGCTGACCCATGAGAATAACCAAATGCTACTGTCATTCTTTGGGGGGCGGATCTGAGTAAACGGCCATCCACTTGAATCGGACAGATTCCATATCTTCTCCATTACATGGAGAACACAGCTGGGCGATTTTGCTTCATGTACTGTGTAATGGTCCGATTCTCTTTATACCACCGTTCAGCTCGTGCACGCAGTCCACCAGAATTCCCACGTGGCCTTTGCACCTGTTTCCCTTTAAAGCTGTATTATATATGAAGGTTTATCTTTCTGTTTAAACCCTCAGAAAATGTGCTGTATCTCACACAGCTGTTCACTATCTTATCTCCTCCCATGGAAAGTGACGGGGGATATAATCGCAGATTCAGAACAGCCGCGAGCCAGGAGATGCTTGCTGGATCCGATGCATTAATGTCCTGTCAAGGTTGTGAAACACCCTCTGTCGGAATCAAAGGCAGATGCGAGGAACAGACGTATAAGATCATGAGCATAGATGGACATTAACGGGAAAAGGCATGCTGGATTGTAAATCCTCAACAGGGCCAACAGTTGTTTATTCAGAAAATGTGAAGAGCAGCGAAGGGTTTTGTATTAGCAAATGGAAGGAATATTGTGTTTTTTTGAGGAAATCCAAACGTGTCGCCGATTCCTTCCATACCTCATGTTCCTAGAAGATTCTGTCAGACCACCAGTTGCCAGGACTTGATGTGCGATGTTCTGTCTGGGATTCTTGGAGTGACTGTTTTTTGGAGCTAGTGTGGCCTTTTTGTTTTGCATTAGCTCGCGACCTATCAGGCTGCGTTATCCGAAGCAACCAACTCCCGAACAATGCAGCACGTGTTGCAGCTTGCATTCACTGCTGTCACAGGCTGCAGTGGCAGAAGGAGCAAACTGCCAGTGTTGGGGTTAGGTTTTGTGGGATCTTCTCATACAGAAGTCTGGGTGTCGAATGTATTCCTTATAAGGATTTCCTGTATAAGGAACAAGAGTGTGTGGGGTTTGCAGGAATGATCTGCCTTCATATTAACGGCCATTGCAATCCCTCAGCTACAGTACTACTGGTAAATCACCTGTCCCTGATGGAATTTACAATTCCCAATAGTCATTCTAATGCTAGCACCCAATTACATGCCGTTTTATGATTTCAGAGCTGGTTTCAATGTAATTTGAATGTAACATTCTAGGTGAGAAATCCCTCCTATGGCCCACCTCAGGTCACCGACGCTGTTAGTGTGGGTCTGTAGCTGGATCTTCTCCACCCCTAATAGAGGTGTTTAATCTGACCTCCAACTGATGATGTAAAATTCAACACGTGTGTTCAGATTCATCCCCATGCTGTCATTGCAGCCAGCACGAATTGGGAATCGAAGAGCTTGGCTACAGCTAGGGGTACGATGCGAAACATTTCATCTGTGAAAGGAGCAAAACCATTGTCTGAACTCTTGACGAAGTCATGTCACGTCACTGCTTTGGTTGGCATTCTCGTAGTGGCAAACATGGCAGATGTGAATACCGACATCCAACTGAAATCGCAACCGGAACACCCAAAACGAAAAGTCATTTACCTTACGATTGTCTTTTATTTTCTGCACAGTGCCTTTCTTTGTTTTTAAGACCTTGGATGGAACAGACATTTCCGTCCATCACACACTCCTGGTCACTGTTTTTTGCCGCAAACCTTTGTATATTATTGTAGCTAAGGAATGAAAAACTTTTATTTATTTTATTTTGTAAAAAAAAATAATGAAATGTTTATTTGTTCTTGTTCCTCAATATATTCTTGAAGTCACATGTTCTGACTGATTTGTACTTTGTATGTAGCTGTGCGTTTGTAGGCATACGTTCCACCTTGAGTCTTCTCGATGTTGTTCTTGAGCACGGAAGTGTTGTTTGCGCCGGTGCCATCCATTTGAGAACAGATGCCTTAATAAATGTCCTGGGAATATTCGTTACGAACACGGAGATGTTTTTGTGTCTGTTTTCAGTCTGTCCGCTTCAAACAAGGGAGAAAAAAAATGTTTACTTAGCTTAGCGGTTTCTGCAAAACAATTTACATGTGTGGTTGCACTATTTTTCCCATATATGTACAACAGAACATTCAGTGGATCAGGTTAGGTATGGGTCACAACATGCAAATCTCCATCCAGGGAGCTTAATGCCTGACCTTTAGGTCACAGAGGTCGAGTTTATCTTCAGCCCCGCAATGGCGCCCCTCTCCTGTCCAGAATGTTATTCAGGTTCCCTTGAAGTACAACGGTCATCGTCTGACTTTCAGGTTGCTGATCACTGAATGCACATGATAAAAAGCTTCTCAGTGTAAGCTTGAAAGTGATGGCGGCCCACCGAAAAAACACACCACACCTACACTGAAGAATATTAAAGGGTTTTTATTTTATCTGCCCCATTTAAAGACTTCTTGCGTCCTGTCTTAATAGTAAAGAAATAATGGACATTTGCTCCCGGTTGCTGTTGACGGAAATTTGTTCCCATTCCTGAACTGAATGACCAGCAGAACCTTGGAAATGTTGTGATTTTAATGACGGCTGCATATAATAGCTTTTGCATGGTTTTCCAGATGTTTCCACAGAGGCAGGAGAGCCTTTGTAGAACATGACAGCACCCCACCCCCCCCTTTTTAAAAAACCCCTATCCACTGAGGTGGCGCTACTGTGCTGGGCAGGTCTTCAAAGTTAATGATACTGCAAGTCACTAAAAGTGTGGTTTTACTTTATACCAGCTGGCCAATTAATTGCATCGCCGTCTTATTCAGGGCAGGCATTCCAGTAATGGTTTCTTTCTGCAGAGAGGTTCAAATAAAATCAGAAGAATGGTTACAGTTGACGCGCCATCTTATAATGTTCACAAGTTGAATCGTGGCAGCAGTCTACGTGTCTATGGAGTTTGGGCAAACAGGACCAGACTAGGCGAGATGTCTTACAGCATTATGGTGGGGGGATCCTGTCAAGTGGAGATTACCCATAAGCCCCAGCTTGCTCAGAAGCCTTTACTCTCCAGTGCCCACTGCGTGCTGAGGCAGGAGCTGTCAGGGATACACAAAAGATTCACCCAATTACCATTTCATTTATTCTCTCCCTTTCACCCGCTCCTCTTCTCCGACTTTCTGATACACATTTATAGTCCTGTCAGGCTGCTTGCGTGACTAAGAGGTGCAGTGGAGGGGGGGGAAAAAAAATCCCCTCCTAAACCGACTGGCACGCAAACTCCTACTAACTATTTTTGGACCTTGTTCTTTTTTGCTGCCTTTAAAAACTGGTGGGGGATGACAGGAGAAAGAAGGCAGGCAAGGCACTGACAAACTTCTGGTTCTGATTTTCGGTAGCCCCGCCTCCTTGTCCAGCCCCGCTGACGTCAGGGCCCTGGGGCTGAGGAGGAGTGAGGTGTATTTTCACCCGTGCGGCCTGGCTGTACGGCCAGCACCCACACCTTCCGTCACTTAGCAACCGTTGCCACCTGATTCCTATTAGCAGCACTGGCCTTCGTATCGCAGGCTTTGGCCCTGGACTGCTTTCCGTCTCCCTTCTCTCGTGCTCTTTCTTCCAGGTCCCTTGTCTGGATTTCGTCTTTAATTCGTCTTTCGCTTTCCTGCTTGATGAAAGAGAGGTGTTCGTATTTTAGTCCTATCCGCCAGCTGACGCATGTTCTTGGCTGAGAGAGACTCTCAAAATTATTCCTTATGTCTTTGTCTGCGATGATTGTAAAGGAGTTTCGGGCTTACTGTCAAGAATGAAGAGAGGATGGGATTCATGTTTTATAGAGCTTTCAGCATAGCACCGATCTTCAAGTGTGTGAAAAGCAGGGCTGGTATTTCTGTGGGTAATAAATCCATGGTTAAAAGAATTTATCAGCAAACTTTACCTTCATTGGCATCCTGACCAGGGAGGACCCCAGCCTTGTCCCCATGGGGCCTACAATAGGCTTCAGACCTCTGCGTGACCCTCATCAGGATAAGTAGTTAGAAGTGGGAGATGGATGGATGGATGGATGGAACTTGCTCTCTGCTCACTCCACATCACAGAAAAAAGCTTTACAATAAATTCATATTTTATTTCATGTTTTCACAGTCATGGCTGATTGACCATAGTGAAAAAAATATGTTGTTGATGTTTTTGAAAAATTTGGTTAAGAAGCTCCTGAAAATGGGTGGGAATGGTTCTTTTAAAGTGCAGGTGCAAAGGTTCAGCCTGTATAAGAAAACAAAACATGTATAATGAAGTACTGGGTGTTGGTGGAGTTCTGAATGTTTGCATACAGGAAGCAGTGGGGGGGTGTTTCAGCTGGCCTGATGGGCCATTCCGATCATGGACGACTTCAGTGCTAACTTGATGTCTAGGCGCCATTCCGATCATGGACGACTTTATGTCTAGGCAAACCCAAGTGAATGAGCATAAATAAAAAAATACCTTGGGACAGCTTAGTGTTAAGGGGCTTCAAGCATAATGGAGCAATATTAGACACTTTAATCTGAGATCTCACTGACATGAGAACTGTTTGCATCTCGTATCAATTTCAATTATGTTGGGTACATCAAATAAATCCTGAAGTAACTGCCAGCCAGTGGGACACATGATCACATATTGTAGTTGGCAGGTATTTCCTAGCTGCCGACAAATGGATTGCACTCCTTCAGTGTTTGGGCAGAATTGATCGTTTTGAGAAAAGGCTTCTCTGTGAGTCCACCGTGAGTCAACCTCACAGTGAGGTTGGGAAACTAATGATCACATGATCACGGGGCAAAGTCGAACTGTTCGTGTCACGTCTAAAGCAGGTTTTTCTAAAGCAGATGTTTCTCATATATCACACAGATCTGAACATAAGTTGAGGTGAGCAATCCATATGACTTCAAGGCTGAAAGACGGCCATTTCGCTGTACTTGCCTGTTCTAGTGTCACCCTTAATTTGCATAGGTTCATCTTCAGACACTAAGCTCCAAAGATGTAAACCGCAAAGAATTTCAACTCCACCTCTCCATGACTGAGATATGAGGATTGTTTCTGTTTTAAAAACCTGCTATGGATAATGTTCGTCCGTATGGATTTCTGACCTCCTTGTTGAATGCAGCCTGAAGGTCCAGATCTATAAAGACAGATACAGGCGATCACAGTTTTTTTTTTTGCTGGCAAATATTTCACAGAAATACTGATATGGATGCAGAAAAAATGGACGCCTCATAGCTTTCACCGTTGTTCAGTGAAAATAACATTTTCTGTCCTTCCATCTACGAAAACAAGGCAAACCCAAATTAAACAAAATACGACATAAATGACAAAGAGAAAGTGCCTGCGTTGTCTTTTAAAATCTAGTTTCATTTTAATTTTGGACAGAAAGTGTTTTATAGTCTTGTTGTTTTTCTTTTTGTAGTTACCATGTCACTTTGACCCAGCCGGTGAAAGCTGGGCTTATTTTCTTTAGTTCGATATCTCCCTGGGACTCTGGTCCACTGCTTTGGCAGGAATGGGGAATGAGTGAGACAGATTGAGAGATGAAGAGAGAGAGATTGATGGAGTGACCGCAAAAGGCATTCAGGTCTTTCTACCACTAAGTGAAAAACAGAGAAGATAGAGAGAGCTCACTGTTTGTTTTTCACCTCCATCACTGAAGCCACTCCTCACCGAGAAGATGATGCCTGTCTGTCTCACAACAGAACCTTCAACTGTGTCCCAATGTCATGAATGAATGAATGTGTATCCACTGAAGCACGTTGTCAGGAACTCAGGAAAAACAACAAAATTACATTCAGAATCAATAAAACAAGGTTATAATAAGGTCTTTGCAGAGGTGGATAGTTCAGGGCCAGAAAGCAAAAATCCAGACCAAGATTTTGTTTCAACCAACTAGTTGCGTATAAAGACTTACAGTCACAGTTGACTGGTTGGTTGAAATTATATCTTGGTCTGGAACAATAGTCATGAACGATCCAACTCTGCCTATTTGCAATTCCACTTCTGTTCTACTTATCAGTCATATTCCGAATTGTTTTAAAAAATCTTCTGAACCATGTTTTTAGTTTCTACTAACTTTCTTCTGCTTTTTAACATCAGCAAGCTTCCCACTGAATCTGAGGTTAACTGGCAACTTTCCTATGTTATTTTTCGGTGCATAATGTTCATTGTGAAACCTTGTGATGATGTTAACCTGTATTGCCATCTCACGATTGTGACCCCCTGGATCTCTATGGACAAATGGATAGCGTTTTCTTTTGGCTATATCTCAAAGAGTTGCACAGAAGCACTAATTGAGCCATCAATGTTGAATCCAGAAATATCAATGGTTCTTCTGTTTATCATGTTGCATTTTGTCTGTTTGTTTCAGCCGTCCCTTCTTTAGAGGAAAGATGAGACCATCATATTCTTTAGTATTTTAGTCACTGATTTGTTTCTTTTTTACTGCTCTTACTATCTACATCTGTGCTCAGACCTCAGAGGCTTCATTTGGCTTAAATCACAACCAAAAAAGCCTTGTAAAACTTTACTGTACGTGAGATAAGCTGTTATCTCCCCAAACGTTGTTGAAGAGTCCACTCCATTCACCTCACACACAGTCTAATCTTTATGATTCAACTTTAGAAAAAAACGTATGAATGTCTTTAAAGGATTTCTTTTTCTTTGAGACATCCCATACACACAGATAGGAATATACACGTTGGGTGGCTCATCTCACTCCCTCACCATACAAGCAGCAACAACTTTTCAACCTTGGCCACAAATGAGGCCATCGTTCTGTGCCAGAAATGATTGACGCCAAAAGGCTGGGCAAAATTTGTAATGATGCCACAGACCACAACTGACTGATTTGGCAACTTCATTTGACAATAGGATATGGACAGCATTGGTTTGTCTTCCTGTCCCCTGTGGAAATGAGGTGGGTGCAAAAGGAGAGCAGGCTCATTACCATGCTGATCCTGAACGTGGAAGCCATGAACCTCCCAAAGCCCTCAT